AGAATTATTCGCCTCGGGCTCATTGACTATCGTGAAATAATCCCTGAGACGACGAGTCGAGGGGATTAATCAACATTATTATCCAGCTACGCTCCGTAGGGTACAAATAACGCCTTTAAGGCGGAAGAGGGGAATTAATCAGAAAACAAGTTGCTCTTTATGTATCAAAATCACTGAAGAATGTGCAAATTGAATCAGGAGGGATTCTTCAAACAATGTTTTCTGACTAATCCGTAACTTTTAGAGTTCCGTAATTTTTAGATTTCATTTCTACTGACTCAAACTGAAACTCCTTCAATTCCTCAGTGTATATAACAATTATTCGCCTTTGGCTCAGAGAATATTGTTTAACAATCCCCAAGACGAGGTCAAGGGGATTATTAGTTCAGCAATATACACTGAGCCTGACGCGAATAATTGTTTTAGCATAATTGCTAAGGTGCTTTCGCATTCTGCTGTAAATTCGTTTTGAAGTTGAAATCATCGTTACAATCGTTTTGATTCCTCTTATCGACCGTAAGCAGCCTGTTTCCATTAGATTTCCTTTAGATATTTGCACTCATCTAAAACAAAAACTCTGTAAAGGCTTTAATTTTTTCACCTCGTCATCTAGAGATCGGAAGATAACAGTTGATCCAACACGTACCTCTGGGAAGACAACACTTCCAGAGCGTCAAGATTTTGTCTCAGCGCGGCGAATATTCGGTTGTCATATTGGACGGGTGGAAAATCTGGGACGAGTGGCAAGCAAGGGGGAGGGGGAGGAGGAGAAAACCAGAAAAATCTCTTCCCTCTCCCCTCCCTTTCGTATTATCTCTCGCAAAAAATCGACAATGCCATTTGTTTCTCTTTGGGGGAGGGGGTAGGAGGAAGCCAAGGAGAGAGAAACATACTAGGGAGGAGTGGAGGGCGCTCAGCTGTGGACGGCACCTTACTTTCTTCAGAACCTGTCCCTGAAAACTTTACATCATCACCGCATATTCAAGGTTCTTAGTAAAACATTCAGTTTCACTTTTCCCGTAAAAAAATGGCAAGCGACCTGGTTAGGATCCTGAAGGAAAAAGCCAAAGAGGCGATCGACATATATTCTCCTGAATTATATGAACTAAACAAAAGTATTTGGGAAAACCCAGAGCTAGCACTCCAGGAGTCATATGCTCACGATCAGCTAACAGAGTTCTTGGCGGATCAAGGCTTCGATATAACTCCTCATTACACTTTGGATACAGCTTTCCGAGCTGAATGCGGAGAGAATGGAGGTCTGACAATTGGTCTGATTAGCGAATATGATGCTTTACCCGAAGTAGGACACGCTTGTGGACATAATCTGATCGCTGAATCAGGAGTGGCAGCGGCTCTGGGTTTGTTTGTCTTGTTTACTTGCTTGATGCACTTTCTACTTACCCAATACAGTCGAATCTGTATTTAGTGGGAATGGCGTGGTGACCGCTAAATACAGGTTGAGCACAGGTTCCATCAAGAGTATTATAAAAAAAAAAAAATAAGAAAAAAAAAAAAAACCATACACAACACCATTTGTGCCATAGAATTGACGACTTCATTTACAGAATATCGCTCAAAAATACTACTCGCTTTGATTTTGGGAGATAAACATGATTAAAAATTAGTATAGGTAATCGCATGGGGCCGAGTAAAATTAAGGATTAATATCACGCGTGTTTTCGGAAGTTGCTGAAATTGCCCGAGTCGCGAGTCGCGCAGCAACGAGGGCAATTTCTGCAACTTCCGAAAACACAAGTGATTACTTGTTTATAATATAAGGGGCAAAATGTTTTCTTACTGATCTCGCGCAAAACGGGACGCCATTGTTACAAAACAAACAGAAATTTCTTTACCTTGGCAGCCGTTGCGAAGCGATTTTCAGCCAATCATTTTCAAGTAATTTTGCCCGGGGCAGTTACAAAAATTAAGTAAAAATGCCCTCTGTCTTGACCAATCACAATTCAGTAATTTTGCCCCTTATATGATAACTTGAAATATTACTTTTGGTGACCGTTCGATACAGGTAGAAAATAATGTTACCAAAAGGACGTAAAGACAGCAGAGTGACAATAACTCTCAAAAAAGAAACAACAACTTTGAGTTAAAATTTACAAGACATGTTTCGACATTCTCATGTCATCTTCAGTTGCAAATAAGCATTTAACGGTTGTACAAATTCAAATGTACAAGCGTTGAATGCTCATTTGCAACTGAAGATGACATGAGAATGTTGAAACATGTCTTGTAAATTTAAACTCAAAGTTCTTGTTTCTTTTTTGAGAGGTAGAAAATAATAAAAACAACCAATTGGGACTTAGTAACAGGATACTGCGACTGCCTATAGAGGTGACTGCATGCTTAACGAGGAGGAAAATGACAGCGATTAAGGGGAAACAAATTAAGGACTGATAACTGACCACTTACAGGGTGACCACTAATAATACAGGCAATGGAAAAGGTGCCGACAGTTTAATTTGAAACTGAAGCAAGTAAGGGAACATAATTATGAGCTAGCATACAAATATCAAAACTGGGATGACTGTGTCTGCAGGGTATGGCAGGACTCCAGATCTCCAAAGTGCAGAGCCATTTTTAGCTATGTGTGTGTGAGCAATGTGACCAAAAATCTAGAATGTTTAAAAAATATTGTGCATGCACCTACCAATTACTCAGCTGCAGACTAAATAAATAATTCCTCAATATGCAGACAAAGAGAGGTATCTGGCCCAATGAAACATTCCTTCAATGATGTTTCATAATCCTAAATTGTTCATCCAGTATCAAACCTCTTGAATTCTTAGGTCTCAAGAATGCTTTGAATGCAGTTAATCAGAAACCTAAAGTCAAAATAGTTCTCCTTGGAACTCCTGCTGAGGAAGCAAAAGGGGGCAAGATTTCAATGATCAGGAATGGTTGCTTCAAAGATCTTGACTTTTGTATGATGGTTCATCCATGTCCGGTAGATGTTCTCAAACCTGTGATTTTAGCTCGTGAAAGGGCTACAATTACCTACAAAGGTCATGCTGCTCATGCTGCAGCATTCCCTTGGGAAGGAATCAATGCCCTGGATGCAGCAGTCATGGCTTACACGAGCATAAGTGCACTAAGACAGCAGATGAAGCCAGAATGGCGTGTCCACCTTATTATTTCAGAGGGGGGTGTCAAGCCAAACATTATTCCTGACCGAGCTCAGCTTCAATGTTATATTCGAACAATGAATGACAATGACCTTGAGGTGTTAAAAGAAAAAGTTAAGAATTGTTTTGAAGCAGCTGCATCAGCTACAGGTAAGCAACTTTTCAAAACAATATTGTGGTAGAGTTGTTCCATGTCCTCTGTTTCTTTTTCTCTTTAACATCTACGTCTTTTTCAAGAGGTAAAAGGTCGCCTGTAGGAGTGAACCGAAATATCTAATTCCCAACTAGATTAAGAAATTGTAAGATCGGAAGAAGATTTGGTCTGGGCACGGAAGAATATTGTGTTAGCAGGGAGTGTTAGCATAAGATGTGCCCCAGTGTTTAAAATGTGTCATTTTCTAACAGGGTGCAAAGTCTTTATGGAGTGGGAAACAGCTACTAAATATTCACATCTGGAAACCAACAACACCCTTGCTGAACTTTACCAAGCCAATGCTGAGTCCTTAGGAGTTTCATTTCCACTTGAGGCAAAGTTCTCAGCATCCACTGATATGGGAAATGTTTCACATGTAGTTCCTTCCATCCATCCCATGTATTCTATTGGCACAACTGCACCCAATCATTCTCATGCATTCACAACAGCAGCAGCAACAGAAGAAGCTCATAAGAATACTCTGATTGCCAGCAAGACATTAGCCATGACAGCTATTGATGTGTTGTACAACAAGGATTTAATGGATAAAGTAAGGAAAGATTTTAAAACATCAAATACGGATTAACAGCAACGGACAGAAAAATGATCAGAAGACAGTGAAAGTAAATTGAGACAGTTGCAAGAAAACTTCTTTGGAAGAACTTTATACTCTGTGATAAAAGTAGCTTTGGTTACATGACAATCACAATACTGAAACAAAAGGAATACACAGTTAAGTAATGGTTCGTACAAGCTCAATGTTGACATGAAATACAAACCTTAAGTTTCCCATTTTTTTAATCAGCCTTAAGTAGTAATGAAAGCACTAGCATATGAAACCTGAGGAAAGTTGTGAGTTGCCATGGTATCAGCCATTTCACAATTTTTTTTGCTAGAAAGGGTTGCTTTAACCTAAGTTACGTTAGCTAGTTTGCAAAATCTTAAAGCTTCTCAGGGAACTATTTTCTGCTGAAGACTTTTAATGAAATCTGGTTAATTTTTCTTTTACTAATTGTACTTAGAAGTTCTCACAAGAGATACTAACCCATAGCACTTACATGAATAATGTGTAGATTGATGTTTGTAAAAACCTTGAAAGATGATAAGTTAATTGTTGGAACATTCTACTTGTAGTTGTATCCCTTAATTTGTACGATTTTCAAGGGTTCAGTCTCTCCTGCACGAGGTACCTCTTGCAATATTCTTGTTGTGGCCATGAAACTCTGAGTTACCTTAAAATATCTTCAATTGAACAATGTTGTTGACTATAATATTTCAATTCTTTGAAAACAGAGAGATTTTCAAAGAGTTAATTGGTTTAATTCCATTCCCTCTCTTCCTCTCCTCCCATGCAATCATCGATGAATGACTTCTTGAAAAAAATTAGTAGAAAAGATATTACCATCGACTATGAATTTATGTGATTAAAAAATAGAAATTTATATGAGAAAGTTGTACAATACATGATCTGATAATCCAAAGTTTGATTAGTTCTGTAGCACAGCACCATATTTCCACCACCTACCCATCCCCTTTAATACTAAAATTTCCCCGAGTAACTTAACTTCGATAAAAATAGATCACACCGGCAAATTTAAGTTTCTTCTGGGAGGCTGTTATCAAATCATTTCCCGAAGACAAAAGTCTGCAAAGCCGGTGGGGGAAGG